GCCTTTCATGACTTGGAATGCTTCTTTCCAGCCCCTTCTTGCCTGCAAGGTTTCTTTTGAGAAAAGAGCTGATAGTCTTATGTGAACTCCTTGGTAGGTAATTGTCTTCTTTTCTCTTGCTGCTTTTAAGATTCTCTCCTTCTCTTTCATTTTGGATAACATAATTATGATGTGCCTTGGTGTGTGCTTCCTTGAGTCCAACTTCTTTGGAACTCTCTGGGCTTCCTGGACTTCCTGGAAGTCTATTTCCTTTGCCAGATTCGTGAAGTTCTCTTTCATTATGTTTTCAAATAATTTTTCAACTTCTTGGCCTTCCTCTTCTCCTTCTGGCACCCCTATCATTCAGTTGTTGGAACATTTAACATTGTCCTAGAGGTTCCTAAGCCTCTCTTCATTTTTTTTTGAATTCTTGTTTCTTCATTCTGTTCTTGTTGAATGTTTATTTCTTCCTTCTATTTCAAATTGTTGATTTGAGTCCCAGTTTCCTTATCTTCATTGTTGGTTCCTGTATATTTTTATTTCACTTTTCCTAGCCTTCACTTTTTCCTTTATTTTGTGATGATACTCAACCATTTCTGTGAGTATCCTGATTACCAGTGTTTTGAACTGTGCATCCAATAGGTTGGCTATCTCTTTGTTGCTTAGTTGTTTTTGTGGAGTTTTGATCTGTTCTTCCATTTGAGCCATATTTCTTTGTTTTAGCACACCTGTTATGTTGTAAGGGGCAGAACCTTAGGTATTCACCAGGGTGAGGCAACCCACTTCTGTATGTGGGGAAGGGTCTGCGAGGGAACAATGCTGCTTGATTGACTTTCAGTCACTTCCTCTGCTACCCACAAACAAATTGGACCCTTCTGGTGCTGATTCCTAGGTGGGTGGGTTTGTATATTCTAGAACCCTGTGGGTGTCTCCAATGAATGGACCTGTGAGGGTGGGAGTTTCTCCCACTGCTGCAATCCCTATGGCTTTTATAACCATAGGTTTTGAGGCTTTCTTTTCCCACGCTGGAACCCTGGGTTGTGCAGTCTGTCTCACTCCCTAGTTGTTCCTCTCAGTTTATCTGCACACAAACATGGGTCTGCCTGGTCCACCAGCCACCCCCTTGCCTGCCAGGTCCTCCAACTGCCACCTCACCACACCCCCTCTCTGCCCTGGTGGCCCATCTCCGCCTCTCCTACCAGCCTGGATGAATGTTTCTTCTTTAACTCCTTGATTGTCAGACTTCTACACAGTTTGATTTTCTGGCAATTCTGGTTGTTTTTTGTTTTTAAATTTGTTGTTCTTCTTTTGGTTGTGCGAGGAGGCAAAGTGTATCTACCTATGCCTGACCTTGGCTGGGAGTCCTCATGTGGCTCTAATTGTAATGGAACCCTAAGAGCCCATTTCCTGCATTTCTGTTTAGCAGACTCATTTAAAAATATTTTCTTAGAAGTTGCTAAAGGGAATTACTAAAAATTATAATCAAGAATGATTAATATCATTTATAGACATAATGTTTTTAATTAAAAACATGTCTATTATGCAAATTATCTTTTAAAATCATTTAAAATTTTTTATCCTTACCCAAGGACTTGCTTATTGATTTTAGAGAGGGGGAAGGGCAGGAGAAAGAAAGGGAGAGAGGAGAAACATTGATGCAAGAGAGAAACATCAATCAGTTGCCTTTTGTAGGTCCCCTGACCTGGGACTGAACCTGCAACCCAGGCATGTGCCCTGACCAAGAATCAAGGCCCCAATCTCAGTTTGCAGGATGACGCCCAACCAACTAAGCCACAATGTACAGGGCTAAATCCTTTTAAATTTAAACAAGGTTATAAATTCCCAGTCTTTACAGAGTAAACAGTTCTGCAAGATTTGTTATGAAGGATCTACCTCCCCATTCCCCCACCACATGCACCCACTTTCTACTCTTTTAGCATAATATTAATAATTTTATATTTAGTTACATGCTTTAAGTATTAGGCTTGTATTTCTCCTTTTTGATTTTTCTATTTTAGGATATTCACTTCTCACTACAAAAGCTAAGGATTAAGTTCTATTTCCTCCTTCCCCATCTCCATCACACATGGTACCCTTCCCCAAAGCCCATTCTTCTATGTTATTACTTTATTTTGTTAAGTAAATTAACAAAATAAGTAAATATTTTGTTTATATTGTTTTGTTAAATAAATACTCAGCATTTACATAGCCATAAATAAAATTACTTTCTCATTTTATATAAGATTTTATTTTTCCCAAGGCTAATAACTGCATATTACTTTAATTTGATAGTTTTTATGTATCTGTCATTAGTCCAACTCCCAAAATCTAGTTCTAATGTTTAACTCTTAAGGCTTCAGATGCAGCTAGGATTTTGTCAATATTATCTTTCTAAAGTAGTAATTCCCAAAGATTTCTGACCAACTCTAATTGGGACTGGTTGCTGTCTATGCCTAATACATAACTACCATCCTGGGCTCTTTCTTTCAGCATCATCTTGTGATTTCCTTCTTTTTCTCTCATCTTTGATATTTATTGTGTTTTCAGTGTTTCATAATTCCTTCCTTTTTGGTTCATTCTCTCATTTTGTGGATCATGTATCCAGAAACTTCCTGCAAAAGGGTGCATGAGAGGTATTTTTTTTTTGAGACTTAGCATGGCTGAAATTGTTTTTATTCTATTCCCACCATTTGTTGAGAATTGGCTAAGTATGGAATACTAAGTTGGAATTAATTTTCCTTCAGAATTTTGAAGGTGGTTCATTGCAATGGGACCACCTACGCAACTGAATTTAGGGAAGTCCATTGCTCCTTAGATTCCAATGTTACTAGTGGGTAATGTGAAGCCATTCTGATCTTGGAGCCTTTATAACCTGGAGGCATGTGGGATCTCCTCTTTATTTCAATGTTCTAAATGTTCACAATGATGTGCTTTCATGTGGATCTGTCTTCATCTTTGTTCTGGGTGCTTGGTAGGATCTTTCAGTTTGGAAATGATACTATAAGATGAATAAGATATGGTTATTGTCTTTATGGAGTTCACAGATAATTAATATACAACATGGTAAGTGTTATAATCCCTTAGGCACTATGGAAATATAGAGTGACTAACCACCTGGCAATCAGTTGCCAGGTAAATAGGAGAAGAACCAAGAGAATGTAGCATCATGAAAGGAGGCAGTAAATAGATAGCACTGTCAGATCCTGCCAAGAAGTCAAGTGAATTAAGGGGAAGTGGCTAATGGATTTTTGGATAGAGAAGTCAGTAACTGGTCAGAGAGGTTTCATTGAGGGTGAAATTCAGAAGGTGATGGATTGAGGAGCATATGGAAACAGATGGGGAATGTTGACAGCCTTTGACAACACAGAGGTAGAAATATGCAGAATTAAAGATGTATTTGGTTGGAAAGGTGGGTGGAGGGAGAAAGGAGAGAGTAAAGGGAGATAAATGGTAATGGGAAGAGACATGACTTGAGGTGGTGAACACACAATACAATATATAGATGATGTATTATAGAATCATATACCTGAAACCTACATAATTTTATTAATCAACATAACCCTAATAAATTCAATTTTCCAAAAAAATGTATTTGACTTTTTTTCCACTTTAAAGTTCAATTAAATAATTTATTTTCATTATAGTTGACATAAAATATTATATTACTTTCAGGTATACAACATAGTGACTCAAAATTTATATAGTTTAAGATGTGATCACCACAATAAGTCTAGTAACTATCAGTTCACTATACAAAATTATTACAATATTACTGACTATATTCCCTGGGCTGTACATTACATCCCCATGACTTATTTACTTTATAACTACAAGTTTGTGTCTCTTTTTCCCCTTCACCTTTTCCACCCATCCCCCACCTGTTATCCCCCTCACCTGTGGCAACCATCAGTTTGTTCTTCTTATGAGTGTTTCTGTTTTGTTTGTTTGTTTTCTATTTTTAGAGTCCACATATCAGTGAAAAAAATACAGTATTTTTCTTTCTCTGTTAGACTTATTTTACATAGCATAGTATCTTCTAGGTCTATCCATGTTGTTGCAAGTTGGAAGATTTCATTCTTTTTCATTGTTCAGTAATATATACCAGATATATATATATATGTATGTATATATATACACACACATATATATGTCACATCTTTATCCATACATCTGTAAATAATACTGCAATGGGCATAGGGGTGAACATATCTTTTCAAATGAGTGTTTTTGTTTTCTTCAGTTAAATATTCAGATGTGGAATTGCTGGGTCATATGGTAGTTATATTTTTTGAGGAGTCTCTATATTGTTTTCCAATTTCCAATCCCTCCAACAGTGTGCAAAATTCCTTTTCTCCAAATCCTTGTTAACACTTGTTTTTTCACTTTTTGATATTAGCCCTTCTGACAGGTGAGATTTAAGCTTGTCTAACTCTTCTCATGGGAAAGAGCCAAAAAAAAAAAAGGAAAGTTGAAAATACAGGGCAGATTGGGGGTTGCCTATGAAGCAAAATCCTCGAAAAAGCCAAAAAGAGTAACATCAGGTACACAGACTGAAGGATTGATTTTAAACTGGAAGGAGATTCCCTTTGATTAAACAGTACAAATTGACAGTTATAAAAATAGTCATGGGGATGTAAAATACAGTATAGGGAATACAGTCAATAATATTGTAACAGTATGGTGTCAGATGGGTACTGAAAAGGAAGGAGATACATAAGGAATATCGGTTCAAGCACTGAGGTTTGAATGAAGACAACGAAAAGCTGTTCGTGGGCGAGATTTCGGAACTTGATTTCAGAATTAGAATGCTTTGGCGATGATAAGGTTTTGCCTCCTAGAGGTATTTCCTCAGTCGCTAGGAAGCAAAGGCATCGGAGCTGGCGGCACGCGAACCGCAAGACTCCTGCGTTTCCAAACACCCAGGCGACGAACGGCCCGCCAGGCCGCCCCTCGCGGCCCGGCGCGTGCGCAGGGTGCTCATCGCGCCTGCGCACCGCGATTCGTGCGTCCGGGTTCTACTCTCGGCCGGAACTCTGGCTGAATGGGCTTCTGGTACGCCACCCCCTGCGAGTAGTTGGCGGGTCCTCCTCTCTGCGAGCGCCAGTGAGTCGCCCTCCCTCGCCCAGAAACCCTCCGCCTGGGCCAGCGCAGGAGGAGCGGGTCTCTGAGGGGAGCGGCGACCCCGCCGGCCTCGGTCTCTTTCCCTGGCGGTGGCGGCTGCGGCTTCTTCCGTAGGACAATATGTTCAAGAGAATGGCCGAATTTGGGCCTGACTCCGGCGGGAGAGTGAAGGTCAGTGCCCGGCCCGCGCCTTCCGTCCGGGAGTGGCTCTCTCGACCCAGCCTCTCCCAGCGGGGCGTGGAGAGGGCCCGCGTGTTTCCCTCTCTCGCCTTCTCGCCCCAGTTTTGAACCGTGGTTTCTAGGCGAGAGCGAGTCATTGGGCCCTAACTTCATGGCGTCACCTCCTCCCTCCCATCCCCGCCAAAAAACAAACGTAGTAGTGGCTTGGGGGAGGCTGGACATTGTTGCCTAGGAAACAAGCCCTTCTGAGGGCTGGGATATTCTGGCTTGGTGCTGGCATCTCAGGTCACCTGTAAGCAGGGGATGCCACCCACCTGATTGTGAGGGTAAGAACAGTAGCAAATATTTAGTAAGCGCTTCTCGCGTGCCGAGCACAGGGCAGAAAACTTTATCTGCCTCTCTGAGTAAGTCCCTACAGCAACCTCACAAAGGCAGTGTTACCCACGGTGTTTACAAGTGCAATAACTGAAGAACTGGGGCGGGGGCGGAGGTGGGGGGGGTAGAACGGCGAGAAAACCTGCCAAATTCTTGGTGTTTATGAAGCCCCAAAGCTACAGCCAGGATGTATCACTCAAGGCATGCAAAGAACATTGCCTGGCACCCGGGGAACCTGGTATTAGCTTCTTTTGTTTTTAATTAAAGTTATTATCATAGAGTCTAACGTAATGTTTGATGCGGTGACACATTTCCCTCCCACTTTCTCACATCTCCTGGCACATAAATTTTTTAAGGCAGGACCAACCCGTTCCCAATATAATGCCTATTTTTTACCCCTTAATGATTTTTACTTATCTTAGAAAGGAAATTTTTCTTTAAAAAGATATCACCCACTTTTGCACCGATCTAGTTAGTATAGATTTTTAAAGAGTCCTTATCATTGTTTTCACATAATTTTGATCATACACTGTGCTACAATTATCATACACAGTGCTTTAATATGATATAAAGTGAGAGTTTTTTGAAAATTTCAAAAGCTGAAATTTAATATAAGGATAAAAAGATGCCAGCAAAATTTATAAACATACATATTTTGCCTGGGTTTTTGGGCATGGTTTTGGACTGATAGGAAAGTTCTACCAAACAAAGGGTTAAGACGTTTTGGAGAACGCGCAGAAGTTTCTATCCTTGTAATCAATCATGTTAGGCTCTAAAAGTTTGTAAGCTTAAGTCCTAGGTGACTTAAGGGGATTAGGCCCGTAGTCTTCAAATGCTTTTTCACAAAAAGAGCATGTGAGGTAGTCATGTAAAGCTTTAAAATTAGAGTCTTATTTCTCCTCCGTGGTGATTGTTATGTGGTCTTGTAGGCATCTTTTTCCAATTTAGGTAAATTTTATCTAGGTAGAAAGTCTGTTGACAGATGAGCCCCCTTTTTATCACTGAGGAACTCTGCAAGTTTCTACCACACTGTAGCAGCCGCGGGATCTATTACCCACTCACCAGGTCCCTGCTCTTGTACTCATTCATGCCAAGGCCTTGAATGTGAGGCCCCATCCAGGGTTGTTACAAAAGTGTCAGTAGCACTTACTGTGATTATTTAAGTTCTCATACAAACTGTTTGCCTTCTACACTAACTTTAGGCTAATAGGTATTGGGTTTATTTGTTAATTATTCACCTACATTTAAAAGTTTTTCCATTTGTTCACTGCTTTTCCTTATTATTGATTATTGATTACACTGGCGCAGCACTTATCACATGTGGTATATCTTGCTCTTTGACCTTCAGATACATTCTTACTATTAAACAATTGGTCTGAAATTCATGTGCAACATTCAGCATTTTGTCTTCACTTGAATTTTTTTCTCTCCATCATAATCTGTCAACACTCACTACCTTTACACTCACCAGATGTGATGAGAAACATGTATGTACATCTCAGAATTGAACACAAATGTAGCAAACAGCCATCGGCCACTATTAAACAAGTGTCAGTCATCCAAGTGCCACTTCAGCATTCATTATCTGAATGCATTTGTAATATTTAATATTTTTATTTAGATCAATTTTTAAAAGCCCATTCCTGAGCATTAGTATTTTTGAAATTACAGGTTTGACTTGCTAGTTATAGTTACGGTTTTTCTAATACTGATTAAAGTAAACCTACAAATAATAAAATGGAAAATGTTTGTCCTCATTCCACTTAAAATTCTCTCCCAAGCTGCCTTTAATATTTGCACTGTGCTTTGGAAAACACTGTCATAAGCTAATGACTAAGGACATTACCATCAGATGATTGCAGTCGAAGTTGTCTATCTTTATTCCAGAGCTTCACTTTAAAGTTTGTGACTAAAGAGTCTTTTGTTCTCTTTTCAGGAAAACTCTCAAAGTACTTTACATGTTTTAAATAGACATTTTCAAAGAGGGAACATTGCAATTAATCTGGTGTATAGTTATTTATTAATATGAAATGAGGGTAATTCTCTAAAGTTGATTTATTGAGAAATCCATGTTATAAGCAAAATCTAGGTTTTTTTAATTTTTATTTTTCATTTACAGTTGACATACAATGTTCTATTAGTTTCAATTGTATGACATAGCAATTAGACATTTTTATAACTAAGAAGTGATCATCTTGATAAATCTCACATCCCTCTGACACCATACGTAGAACAGTATTGTTGACTATATTCCCTATGCTGCACTTGACATCCCTGTGACTACTGATACTTTGTAACTAGTAATTTGTACTTCTTAAACCCTTCCCCCTTTCACCAATCCCCCCAACCTCCCTGCAGTCTGGCAACCATCAAAATATTCTGTGTCTGTGACTTTGTTTCCTGTTTTGTTTGTTTGTTTTGGTTTTTAGGTTCCACATATAGGTGAAATCATATATGGTATATGTCTCCCTCTGTCTGACTGATTTCACTTAGCAAGTACCCTCTGGTGTCTATCCATGTTACTGCAGGTGGCAAGGTTTTGTTCTCTTTTATGGCTGAATAATATTCCATTCATCTATTGGTGGGCACTTAGGTAGCTTCCATATCTTGGCTATTTTTAATAATGCTTTAGTGAACACGTGGATACATATCTCTTTTTCAAATTAGAGTTTTTGATTTCTTCAGATAAATACCCAGAGGTGGAATTGCTGGGTCCTTCTTTGTCTCTTGTTATATAGCCTTTGTTTTAAAGTCTGTTTTGTCTGGTATAATACTGCTGCCTGGCCTTTTTTGTTTGTTTCCATTTTCATGAGTATTTATCCTTTTCCTTTCAGTCTGTGCATCTTTTATTCTGAAATGAGTGCCTGCCATTTCTTAAAACAGGCTTTCAGAACTCTTATTCTCTTTGTTTGGGTAATGATGCAATATTAATTGGTATTTAAATTATTTTTCTTTAAGGGGGTTACTATTGTTAAACCAATAGTTTATGGCAATGTTGCTCGATATTTTGGGAAGAAAAGAGAAGAGGACGGCCATACCCACCAGTGGACAGTATATGTAAAACCATACAGAAATGAGGTAAACATTGTTTTTTCCTATAACTTTTTTAAAGCTACAGTTTGTTTTGCTTCAAGATAAATTGTAACATTATTTTGTAGTGACTTTTTTATTGTAAAATTGGTCCTTATTAGAAATGTTAACCCCCCCCAAATTTGAAAGAATAAAGTGAGAGCTATTATCTTAATGTAATTGTTCAGTAGAAATCAATTTTCCAAAAATGTTTTCTAATTAAAATTAAGTTACACTAACAAAAATTATGCTATCAATACAGCATACCTTGCAATCACCATGTCTTAACTTAGCCTAGTATTTACTCAGGTGTTTCAGGAATAGTAGTTACAGCATTTTGCCAGGTATATACAGTATTATTACAGTATAATGCACACACATGCTTTAGTGCTAATTCCCATGTATAATGCATATCCTTATTTTCCCCTCAAATTTTGGACAAAAAACAGTGCGCATTATGCACGGTAACAAGACCATCAAAAAAGATGGAAGTCAAAACTGCTGTATAACCTGACAGTTGGTAATGTTGTTTTGGTACTGAATCTCTGATGCCTGGAATGCAGCCAGTACATAGTAGGTATTCAACAGATATTTATTGAATAAATAAACTATTCTTCTATTTAAACCCTTCAAAGTTCACACAGAGACTTCTCTATGAATGATCATAGTAGCATTTTCATAGTAGCCAAAAGAATGGAAACAACTCAAATGTCTCTCAGCTGATGAATGAGTAAACAAATGTGGGATATCCATACTATGAACTACTATTAGGCAATAAAATTAAATAAAGTATTGATATATGCTACTACCACATGTAGAAATTTAAAACATTATGGTAAGAGAAAGAGGCCACATATTGTATGATTAAAAATGTTTTGAAATTGATTATGGTGATGGTTGTACAACTCTGAATATACTAAAAACCATTGAGTGGTACATTTTAAATGGGTGAATTATGTGGTATGCCAATATTTCAATAAAGCTATTATACAAAAACAAACCTTCAATGACTATCTGTTGCCCTTGTAAAGTTAAAACTATCTTATGGGGACTGGGTGAAAGAAGGTGAAGGGACTAGCCAAAGAACATATATGTATAACCCATGAACACAGAAATAGTGTGGTGATGGCCTGAGGGAAGGGGGAGTAGAGGCTGAGAGGAGGGGTCAGAGTGGAGGGAAATGAGGACATCTACAATAATGTCAAAATAAAAATAGAGAAAAATATAATATTTTGGAAGGCATGCCATGGTTTCTCCTTATCCTATCTCTGAAGCATATAGCTTATTTGTGTTTGCCTCATCATTCCTTTATACCCTACATTCTGCCAATACTAAATTACTCTCAATTTCCCAAAGGAGCACTCTTAAACCCCTTCATTCTCATTCCTTCCCACCCATTCTATTCTTACTGTTCCTTTAGTCTTAGTTCAAGTGTATTTTCTTTAGAACTACTTTCTTGATCTGCCAAGACTGTTATGTTAGGTGCCCCTCCTACAGTCTTGTACTTTGTACCTTTATAACACAGATTACACCGAAATGCTGTTCTTGTCTGCCCCATAATCCACAGAGAGATCCTGAGGGCAAGACTCATTATTAGTTAGCATTATGGCATCTGGTACTCAATATTGGTAGTCACACATGTTTGTAGAAAAAAAAATGATTTCTAAAAGAGTCATCAAAGATACTTTAAAAAATCTGCCCCCCAAAATGTTCACAATATAATGTTAAGTAATGGAAGCCGATACTAGTTTATCATTACAGTAAGATTGCAATTTAAAAATACATATGTAAAAAATAAATAAAATCCAAAAATATATATGTAGGTAATAAAAAATTCCTGAAAGCAAGTAAAAAGATTAATAAAAATTACTATTGAGTGCCTCTTATTCTGTTTTGTATTTTTCTATTTTTCTTTAATGAAGTATTTTTGAAAAAGCCATGTTCACTAGGAGAATCCCTTTTATGTGTCAGAGCTTATGAATATGTTTATGTGCTTCAAAATAAAATTAAGAAAAGGAGTTTTATATCCAACAGTTTTAGGTCACTTAGTTTAGTTGACCTTAGTTTTACATAACATAATTTGTTCTTTGAAGTTGTTTAGTTCTTAAATTTACTTTGGTTTATATGGTCATTTCTATAAAAAATATTGATAGTATACTATTGTTTTTATGGAAAAATCAACTGATTTAGAATATTATATATAGATAAATATATAAAAATGATTTGCAAAACAAGTGAATTGATATGTATATTCCTATATATTATGAATTATGAAAGAATTCAGCACAGGCTTCCTTGTTTAAAATAAAAAACAAACCTCCCAGGTATAATTCATGTTTTTTAGAAAATTGGATTCTATAATACTTGAAGGGAAGTGTATTTTATAAAACTAAATATGTATGTTCAGTGCATTTCCCTCTTAGTTTTATATGTTAGATGGCAGAACTAATTAATTCATCTGTATTTTAGGATATGTCAGCATATGTGAAGAAAATTCAATTTAAATTACATGAAAGCTATGGCAATCCTTTAAGAGGTACAGTATAGTTTTTTTATTTATAATATACAAATTTAAAAAGAGGAAATTGCATCAGTAATTTACACTTAATAATTGTTTTATTCTTTCTCTTTTTCAGTTGTTACTAAGCCTCCATATGAAATTACTGAAACAGGATGGGGTGAATTTGAAATAATCATCAAAATATTTTTCATTGATCCTAATGAAAGACCTGTGAGTAATGGTAATCTTTGTAAATATAAAATAGGTTTTTTAGTAATTGTGAAAATGTAACAATACTTAATGAACAGGTGATTATATGTTGACATTTTTATTTATTATATGTTGACACTTATAGTATGGTGTATCTTGCCATGAGTTAAGATTTTTCATTTTTAAATGATATGCATTCCAAAATTTGTATTTTTTGATATAGAAATAAGGATTACAGTGTGAACATGTATTAGAAATGAACCATGAAAGTTATATGATTACAGCAAAAAATTTAAATTCATTAGTATCATTTGGTTATTAGTAATAAACAGATTGAGGCCATATGCTGTCTGAAATGGGAGTATCCAGTTTTTTATAGTTAAAAGCCCTAAAAGCAGTCTTTCTGCTTTTTCAAGCTGCCATCAGTACTAGCAGCTTTACTTTATATCTTATTCATGAGTCCTTATTGTAATCACTGACTTTTTCATCTTTTGATCTCTTATTATCAGATTATTGCTTGACATTATAAAAAGTCCCTCAAAGCTTTCACTTTTGATTCCTTAGCAACTCTGTGAGGTTGGAGATATCCTCATTTTAGGTATGAGAATACTAAGGCTCAGAGTTCAAGTCACAGGCTCAAAAACACAGTTAGTGGTGGCAGAGCTAGTTTTGAACCCAAGTATTTGCATTTAGACCTTACACTTTCTTTTGACTAAAACCAGTATGCCTCTTTCATTTTTAACCCATAGAGTCAGAACTCAGTTAACGGCTCTCTCATTTCTCATTGGTGTGCCTGGTGTTTAATTTGTTTCAGGCCTTTACCACTCATCACCATTAATTTTCATCTTGATAGAGTCAATCTCATTCCTTTAGCACCAGACATTTACACTTCAGTTATCAGATTACATTTTTAAAACTGTATGTACTTTTAAAGGACTTGACTATCACCTGGGCAAGGGGTTCAGAGACCTAGTTTCTAACTGGCTGCATCAGACGTACCTGAGGTATTTTTTTAAAAATTCAGACTGATAGGCCTAATCCTCTGGAGTGTCTGATTCAGTAGGTTTGGAGAGGGGCCAGCACCCCAAGTCATTTTAATTCATGGTAAGATTTAGAACCCAGTGATGTAGGCCATACTGTGAACTAGGTAGGACTTCCGATAGGCCATCTCTCAAATAAGAATCTCTGGATTTGTCAACTTCAGTACAGAGAATATTGACTTCTCTCATTAAGTGAAACATCCTGTTCAGGTTTGAGGTAGTTTTAGTTTTAAGAAAGCTCTACTTTTTATTGATAACTATACATTAGTTTTATTTTCTCCCAAATAAAATATCTGTAGCTCATTTAAATATTTTCTATGTGATAAATGTTCCGAATCTCCTACCATTCTTTCTTCTTACTGTCTTTCTAGAGTACTGTCACATCCTTTACATTTGTTTGGCAAGAAATTCTTAAATATTTGTTATTTGTGAGATTGTTCAAATATCTTGACACAAAGTTGAATCCTTAATGAAAATAATCTGCAAGGGAGAAGAGAGCACAGAATTTAGCAGATACCATATTTTGCTGTGTATAATGCTCACTTTTTTGCCCAAATTTTTGAGGGAAAAATAGGGATGTGCATTATACATGGGTAGTACTAATTCTGTATCTATATAAAAGTTTTTAATTCTTTTATTTATGCTTATGTATTAAAAATGTAACTCTAGAAAGCAATAACAGTATCTGTATGCAAAATAATACCCTGGAATACAATAATCAGTTTTCTTTCTAAATACAAAAATAAATTGAATTGAAAATTAAAATGAAAGATTTTTTTTCCCAAAACATGGGTGTGCATTATACATGGGAGCACATTATACACAGCAAAATATGGTATTGAGAGAGAAGGTACAGTTACAAGAGCTCTTTTTAACTTTGTAGGATTGCTTTGAATTGATTTTTATTTTGAGAACATGTGGCCTTATCTATCTCTTCATTTGTTGTCCCCTCCTATCCCAGTTGGGAAGTACATTTCTGAAAGAAGTCTTTATATCATGTAATTTCAGTATGAGCTGCCTCAAAGTCCATTCTTGGAAGAGTAAGGCAACATGATTTTTTACACTTCTGCAGTGATTAATTTTTTTAAAGATTTTATTTATTTATTTTTAGACAGAGGGGAAGGGAGGGAGAAAGAGAGGGAGAAAAACAACAATGTGTGGTTGCCTCTTGTGCGCCCCCCACTGGGGACCTGGCCCGAAACCCAGGTATGTGCCCTAGACTGGGATTTGAACTAGCAACCCTTTGATTCGCAGGCCAGCACTCAACCACTGAGCCACACCAGCCCGGGCTGCAGTGATTAATTTATTAAATAGGTTTCCATGTAAACCTACATGGGCCTGAATTTTATTCCCCCAAAACTTGTAGTGTTCATTTAGTAAAATGAAACCATTATACTTTTTAATAGTTGGCTCTTACAGAAAATAAGTCATGTGAAGGTTTATTTAAAGTATAAAAGATAGACATGGATAGCTTGTGATTTACTTCTGTTATCCAATAACCTATTATAGGCCAAGCCATTGTAAAAGGAATGGTTGTTTCTAAAAATGAAATGCTAAAATTAGATTTTTATGCCTAGAAATACTGTTACTAGACAGCCTTGTGCTGTTCCAGAATAGTCAGTGTGATTTTATTGCTTGTCACCTAGAGACATAATTCTGGAGACAGGAGTCTGGTGAAAAGGAAAGGGGTTGTTTATTTAAAGGTTACATAGTTTTGGAATGATGGTAGGTTTCTGCCTCAGGGCCCCACTCCCTTTAAAATACCCGAAGACAAACAGCCCTGCCATACTGCCAGTTCGAGAATGCACCTGAATCCCTTTTCCCACTCTTGAAAGTACTGTCCTTTATGAAATGCAGATAACTGCATCCGGATTATCCAGGTGGCTTGGCAGGTTCCCAGTCTCAGTTCAGCTAGTGCTGCTGCTTTCTGTGTGGGAGAAGTGCAGGGCCTTGGAGCTCAGCCACGACATCTCCAGGGAACCCTTCGGTCGCCTCAGGAACCCAGGCTCTCTGTGGCCAACCAGACTTGCCAGGGGAGGGGAAAGAGAGGATGCATCTTGGCACATTCTATTTTAAAGACTCGGCCCAGAAATCCCTGTGTGATGTAGCACCTGGCTTTTTAACCATGTGTGCTAATATTTGCCATGTTTGCCTCCCCTCTTCTGGCTGACGTTTTGCACAAGGGGACAGAAGTCTTGAACCATGCATGCTCTGTATAAGCTTCCTTCTACTGAGTCATGAGTTACTTGGTTGCTGGCAGCCACACACACAGGCATGGCTGGGCTGGTTGAAGTTGCTTTCATTTTTAGTTGCCTTGGGCAATATTCATTCTCTGGCAACCCTTCTGTTAGAAGGGAGGGCTTCAATCTTCACTTCTGCCTTGGGGTTTTCTCACCACCCCCTGCCTTCTCCCAGGATCTGTCCTGATGGCTCTGTTACACTATCTCTGTAGCAAGTAATAGGCATTTTCATTGCTCTAAGAATCAGCAAACACAGCTCAAAATTGAAGACATCTGTCTTGAAATTTTTCATTGGCTATATCTGCATGAATGCCTCTGGTAGTCTAATAAATTTAGGGGAGGGACAGTTTTATGATGTAGTTTTAAATTTTTCTTAAATTATACAAGCCAAACATGCACATGCCTTTTTTTAATCCTCAGCTCGTGATATGTTCACTGATTCCAGACAGAGGAAGGGAAATAGAGAAACATTGATCCATTGCCTCCTGAACATGCACTGCGAAGGGACCTAACCCACAACCTAGGCATGTGCCCTGACTGGGAATTGAACCTGTGACCTTCAGCTTTATTGGACAATGCTCCAACCAACTGAGCCACACCAGCTAGGGCAAACAGGCACATGATTTTTTTAAAAGTCTTTAAAAATAAAAAGTACAAGTCTTCTGTATTAGTTTCCTAGGGCTGCCATAACAAAGTACCACAAACTGAGTGGCTAGATAACAACATTTTATTCTCACAGTTCTAGAAGCTACAAGTTCAAAATCAAGGTGTTGGAGATGCTCTCTCTAGAGCCACTAGGGGAGGATCCTTTCTTGCCTTTCCTAGTTCCTGGTAGCCCCAGGCATCTCCAGTTTGTGGCAGCATAACTTCATTCTCCATCTTTATTGTCACATGGCCTTTCTCTGTGTCTCCTCTTATGAGGACATTAGTCATATTGGATCAGGGCGCACCCTAAGGACTTCATCTTAATTTGATTACATCTACAAAGGCCCTATTTCCAGGTAAGGTAGCATCCACAGGTACTGAGGGTTAGGATTTCAACATTTTCAGGGACATAATTCAACCCATAACATCCTCGTTTCCCTCATATCTGGCCCTCTTCCCAGGAAAACCATAGTTACTATTTTCTGTTTCTTTAGTTATAATTCCCATGCATCTCATTTATTTAAATCTCTAAATTTGAATTTTTTGATTTTAGGTAGTGCCTGTCAGCTCCTAATGATGACAGGTGACCTTTTTCTTCATTATTTCAGGGTTGTTGGTTTGTTTGTTTTGTTTTGTTTTGTTTTCATTTTACTGAAGGAATTTCTTCAGAAAAGATGCCTGAGAAATAAACTTTCAGAGCCATTACTATCTGAAAATATCTTTATTTTTACTTAATACTTGATTGTTTGGGTGAAAAATTGTAGATTCCACAGGAGGATATGCCCTCTTGTCTTTGAGTGAAGGGAGATGGAAGGAAGGTTAACAGGCTGAGCCAGCCGCAGCATTCTTGATCTCGACACCTGCCAGCTGAGCTTGGAACCTCTCTGGGGCTGCACTGGGAGCGCTGGCTCCCACCTGTGATGCAATTCTCTTCCTTACGTTTTCAGGTTGTGGATTTCTGTGTTCTAGAGTATCCATTGTGTAGTCTCATCTGCTTTCTGCCTGAATTTGTTGAATTATCTGCTTGAAATATGGCCTGTGATTGATGCATGCTCCTTGTAATTATTTTTGATAAGGTTTGGGAAATTTTTTGAGGCCTCTGAATTGGTTTCTCCAACATGAACTCTGATGTTTTTCCAGCTGGGTTTTCTTTTTTTCAAGAAGATTTTCTTTATTTTTAGAGAGATGGGAAGGAAGGGAGAAAGAGAGCGAGAGAAACAACCATGTGTGACAGATACATTGACTGGTTGCCTTTCTCATGCCCCCAACTGGGAACCTGGCCCATAACCCAGGCGTGTGCCCTCACTGGAAATTGAACCAGCAACAGTTGGTTTTCATGCCAGTGCTCAATCCACTGAGCCACACCAGCCAGGGCTGCCAACTGAGCTTTATTTTGCTGAAGCAATCACACATTGTGTTGCAAAACTTTTCCCTTGATATCTTACTGCACCTGTTTTTAAGTATTTTGAAGACATGTTGCTCTTGCCAAAGTGAATTATCTTTGACTTTTTAACATATAATAATCTTATAGATCACAAATTATCTTGCCCTACTGAGCATTTGACAGTATCAAACCTTTTCTCCCATAGTAAATTTGTAAACTTTAATCTTCACAGAAAAACTGTCTCATGATTTAATTTCACTTGTGTTAGTAAAGAATTTGTCTTTTTAAAAAAAGAACTTATGTTTTAGTGATTTCCCACTTTAATTTACATAGCTGTATCTTATGTTATTTTTATATATAGTTACTCTCTAGAAGTGCTTTGTAACAGACTCTTACTTACCTTCTTTAAAACATCCATGTTTAGTTGTCTCTCTACAGACTATGCCCATGCCTTTTCCTACCCACCTCCCCCAGTGCGTTTTCTGTGCATCTCGCTCTTTTCCAAGTTCCAGGGACCCTTTTTTTGCTTTTGTAATTTGTTTCCTAAGCGTTTTTTTCTGAAGCTCACTTTACCCCTGTGTCTTTCTAAATAAACTTTCTCTTATTTTAAAAAGAATTCATGTTTAGATGTGAATGGATGGTGATATCTATAGGAAAATGAAAGTACACAGAGTTTGAGTGATTTGCCACAGAAAATAGTAATTGAGATAAGGTCCTGAATTTGGTATGTTTACTAATTCTAGTCTCTAATTCAGTTACAGAAATGACAGTGTTTCACAGTAATGAAGATAATTGTTGCACAAATGTGTTATGTCTGTTTTAATCTCACAGGTAACCCTATATCATTTATTAAAGCTGTTTCAATCGGACACCAATGCAATGCTGGGGAAAAAGACAGTGGTTTCAGAGTTCTATGATGAAATGGTAAGAAGATTTTATAATGAGAGCTTTAAAAGCATTCTGAATTGTAGAACTTTGAAGTTATTGGGCCTTTTTCCATTATATCCCATTAGATATTTCAAGACCCAACAGCAATGATGCAGCAATTATTAACAACATCTCGTCAGCTAACATTAGGAGCCTATAAGCATGAAACAGAATGTAAGTGCCATGAGTTCATAATTAATACTGAAAAATAATGTGTTATGTGATGACGAAATGATTGATTAGTAAGTTTTAAAAATTTTTTAATGCTATATATACATAAATTTTTCAGGAGTTAAAAAAGTAAGATGTGCATTACTAAAGTACATGTAAGAAGGATATTATAAATTGTTCCCAAAGTAGGCCTACTTTCAAAAAGGGGAAAACTTCTCACAGTCTCTGAAATACTGAAATACTGTTTGTCTTTTATTCTCTAATTATACTTCTGTGTTCTGTGTTCTTGTTTGTTTGTTTTTTTCCAACCTACATCATTTTATATAATTTCAGATTAATACTGAGGTGGAAAATGCCAGAATGCCACATTGATTTCAGTCACAGTACATTTTCCCTCTAACCCAGCAGTGCCCCAGAATACCCTGCACATCACTCCGTGTAGCTGTTGCCCATGTTTGCAGTTGCCACTCAAGATGACAGTTATTTGCCATCCTGTGTTAACATTTATGTCACTGTTCATTTGCCCACAGGACAAGAGGGGACCCCCCCAAAATGAAATTTATTTATTTAAAAAATGGGTATTTATACTTACATGTTTAAACTTCAGTCACCTACAAAGTACTCTCCATTTGATGCAATATGCCTAGCAAGATTTTTCCACTGCTCAGAACAGCTTTGGGACGTGTCAATTTTGATGCCTTTTAATGCTTCTGCTGCGTTTTTGTTTTACCTCTTCCACATCAGCAAAATGTTTCCCTTTGAGAACTTTTTTCTTTCTGGGGAACAAAAATAAAGTTACTCAGGGTGCAATCAGGTGATAGGGAGACGGGGGCCAGGGGGTCATACCATTTTTGGTTAAAAACTGTATATTCAGCATGGTGTGGGCAGGTGCACTTGTAAATCACCCATCATGAAATGGGAAAAGGCACTGAAAGAGTCTCCCAAAAACATCATAGAAGCTGAACATAGCCTCTCACCATAGCACCAGCTGGTACATTGATACCGATTGGTTCCTAGAACACTCACCTAGTGGGGAAAGTCTGTACTACAAGAGGCCTACCCTCCAGAAGATAATTGTTTTGGTTTAGTTTTTTGCATTCCCTCTTACAGGTATTGATTACCAGTTATATGCTGGGCATTGTTCAAGGTTCTAAGGATAGAGCAGTGTCCAAACCAGACAAAAAGGCTTACTCTCATGGAGCTTACATTCTAGTGGGAGGAAGACAGATTTTATAAAGTGTAACTAGCGTAGTGATTGGATGGCATAGAGACAAGTGAAGCAGGGGAGGAAGCACCTTTGGTGGAGATGATGATGAGCAGTTTTTAAATATCAGGTCACAGAAAGCTTCCTGAGGTTGTGGCATTTGAGTGAATACCTAAAGGAGTAAAGAATGTGATCCTTGGAGCTATCTGAGATAAGAATGTTACCTATAGAGGGAGCAGCAAGGGCAAAGGCCTTGAGCTTAGAGTGTGCTGGGCATGCCAGAAATAGCAGGGAGGCCAGAGAGTCTGTAGTAGAGTAAACAAGGGGTCAAGAAGTCAGAGGTGAGACCAGAGAAGTTAATAGGGGACCAGATCATGTGGAAACTTATGGGTAACTGTGAGGACTTTAAGGTGGGTGAAGGACATGTAAAGTCATTTGTGGATTTTGAGCTAAAGATTGAAAATATAGGACTAACATTAAAAGATCAATCAGCCTGGCTTCTGTGTTGAGAATAGACTGTGAAGTAGAAAAGGAAGAAGCAGAGAGGCTGTTAGATAACCTAGATGAGATAGGATGGTGGGTGGTACCAGAGTGATAGCAGTATACAGTGGTGAGAAAGGGTCAGATTCTGGATCTATTTTGAAGATAGATACAATAGGATTTGCTGATGGTTTGAATAAAAACATGTAAGAGAAGATCAGCCAAGAATGACTCTTAAGGTTTTGGGCCTAAGAAACCAAAAAATTGTCATTGCTTTCTATAGGGATGGGGTAAGTCTGGGAGGAGCAGGCTTTGGGGGAAGATTAGTTAATATAGTTTTGGACATGTTGGATATAGGATGCCTCTAAGACATCTAAGTGGTTACATTGAGAAGGCAACTGCACCCAAAAGTCTGGTATTCAAGGAGAGGCTGAAGATAAAAATTTAGAAATTAATAAATAGATGGATTTATAAATTGTGAGACCCGGTGATATCATCAAAGGAGTGAGTAAAATAGAAAAGAGGTCCAAGAACTGAGCCATGATCACTGCAACAGTTAGAGATTTAAGGGGATGATTAGCAAAGGAAATTTAAAAAAGCAGTGAGTATGGAGGAAGAAAAACTGGGTGCCTGTAATGTCCTAAAGCCAAGTGTAGAAAGTGTATCAAGAAATAATGAGCCATGTCCAATACTGCTGATAGGTCAAGTTAGATGAGGGCCAAGAAAGAAATGGACTATAGCAAGGTAGAAGTCCTTGATTACCTTAATAGGACCAGATGAAGGACAGAAGACAATTGAAGTGGATCAAGAGAGAAACTGGAGATACTTGCAGTGGTAGCAGAAGCAGGATATAGGGTGAGGGCAGTGTTTTCAGGGGAATTAAATCAGTATATTTGTGGGCTGAAAGAAGTGATCCAGTAAAAGAACAGGTGGGGGACGAGTATAGGGGAGAAAGCGGTTGCTATTTAACCACTATTTGTTATAGTAGTCTTACCTTTTTATGAAACCTATGACTGGAAGTTAAAAGATTTGAATTCTAATTTTAATTTTTCCACTTGATACTCATTTAAGATTTAAAATCATATTTAAAATTTTTATGCTTCACTTGCTGCATTTGCTTACTTTATAATGAACATAAAACAGGTATGTATATGATTACTTTGAAAAGGTAAAAAAGCACCTTATATGCTATTTTTAATAATGTTCTATTGTTTGTGCTGTTAACATTTATCCCAATTTTTACCCTTTCATCCTACTTCCCAGCCCATCTCCTACTTCCGTAGTCCATCCCCACACCATTGTCCATGTCCAGGGGTCCTTCATATACTAATCCCTTTACTTTCTTTTAAACTGTCTCCACCTTTCCCCTCCCCTCTTACAGCTGTCAGTCTATTCTGTGATTCAGTGCCTCTGGTTCTCTTTTGCTCATTAGTTAATTTTGTTCATTAGAGTCCTCTTATAAGTGAGATCATGTGGTATTTGTCTTTCACTGACTGGCTTATTTCACTTAGCATAATAGTTTCCAGTTCCATCTGTGCTGTTGGAAAGGTAGGAATTCCTTATTTTATTCTTCTGCATAGTATTCTACTGTGTAAATGTACCACAGTTTTTAATCCACTCATCTACTGATGGGCACTTAGGCTGTTTCCAACTCTTAGCTATTGTAAATAGCGCTACTTTGAATATAGGGGGTGCATAACTTTTTTTGAATTAATGTTTCGGGCATCTTAGGGTATAATCCCAGCAGTGGAATTGCTGAGTCAAAAGGTAGCCCCATTTTTTATTTTTTGAGGAAATTCCATACTGTTTTCCACAGTGGCTGCACCAGTCTGCATTCCCACGAACAGTGCACTAGGGTTCCCTTTTCTCCACATCCTCACCAGCACTTGTTTGTTGATTTATTAATGATAGCCATTTTGGCAGGTGTGAAGTAATATCTCATTGTGGTTTTAATTTATGTCTCTCTGATGACTAGTGATGTTGACCATTTTTTTCATATGTCTATGGGCCTCTGTATGTCCTCCTTGAAAAAGTGTCTATTCAGGCCCTTTGCCCATTTTTTAATTGGATTGTCTTCCTGGCGTTGAGTGATATGAGTTCTTGATAGATTTTGGAGATTAAACCTTTGTGCTATGTGTCATTGGCAAATATATTATCCCATATAGTCAGTTCCCTTTTCATTTTGATGATGGTTTCTTTAGCCATGCAGAAGCTTTATAATTTGACGTAGGCCCATTTGTATATTTTTTTCTTCCTTGCCTTAGGAGATATATCAGCAAAATATTGTTATGTGAGATAATCTGAAATTTTACTGCCTTTCTTTTCTGCAAGGATTTTTATGGTATCATGACTTATATTTAAGTCTTTTATCCATTTTGAGTTTATTCGGGTATATGGTGTAAGCTGGTGGTCTAGTTTTATTTTTTGCATATACTAGTCCAATTTTCCCACACTGTTTTTACTCCGTAGTATACGTCTTCCCCCTTTGTCAAATATTAATTGACCATAGAGACATGGGTTGACTTCTGGGCTCTCTGTTCTATTCCATTGATCTATGTGTCTGTTCTTATTCCAGTACCATACTGTTTTAGTTACAGTGGCCTTTAATATAGTTTGATATCAGGTATTGTGGTCCTTCTGAGTTTGTTCTTCTTCCTCAAGTTTGCTGAAGTTATTTGGGGTTTTTTTTTTGGTTCCATATAAATTTTTGGAATTTCTGTTGTAGCAGTTGTTACTTCTTTTTCATTTCTGATTTTATTTATTTGGGTCCTCTCTCTCTCTTTTTTAATGAGTCTGGTTAAAGGTTTGTCAAATTTGTTTATCTTTTCAAAGAACTAGCTCCTGGATTCATTGAACTTTTTTTCATTGTTTTTTTAGTCTATGTTATTTAATTCTGCTCCTGATTTTGATTATTTCCTTCCTTCTACTCACTCTGGGCTTTGTTTATTGTGTTCATCTAGTTCTTTTAGATAATAGGGTTAGGTTGTTTATTTGAGATTTTTCTGTATTGTCTAGGTAGGCTTGTAATGCTATGAACCTCCCTCTCAGGACTGCTTTCGCTGTGTCTCATAGGCTTTGGGTTATTGTGTGTTCATTTTCATTTGTTTTGAGGTACTTTTCGATTTCTTTCTTGATGCCATTGTTAACCCACTCGTTATTTAATAACATGTTATTTAGCTTCCATGTATTTGAATGTTTTTGAGTTTTTTTCTTGAGGTTGGTTTCTAGTTTCAAGCCATTGTGATCTGAGAAGAAGTTTGATATGACTTCACTTTTCTTGAATTTGTTAAGACTTGTTATGTGTGCTACAGTGTGGTTT